CCAGCTCTTTGATATTCTAAAAATATATTTATCTTTCTTCATAATCATCGATTTTCCGATATCGATAGAGTTAAAGTCTAGCGAATTTTCTGCCTCACATTCAGATTCCAATAAAAGTTCGCCGAATATGTGTTACTAGTTGATCCAGCTAACTTCGTACCTCCTAACAGTTCAGTGAGAGTTTTTTTACCAATCTTTTAGTACAGATCAGTCTTAAGTTGTCAAATTTTTTGTTCTATATACAGTGTTACAAAAAAAGTAATGAAATAAGGTGTAATTTTTGTAACTCAATTATTCGGCACAGAATTGAGTTTCAACAAAAGAAACTAAAATACGCCATATAGCACACAATTTCTTTATCTATTAGATTATCGATTGCTACCGGAGCTCTCAAAATGTTTGTATTATTTTTTAATTTTCATAGTTAAAACGATTATGATTAATTTATTTTAAAAATATCAAAGAGAAAATATGTTTTTTGACTAGATCTACCACCCTTCTTCAGTTCTCTTGTTAGCGCAATATTGTAAACAGTTTAATGCCGATTAAAAGTTGTCTCTTGATATTTTCTCGATTTCGGCATCTTTGATGAGATAAACCCAATTTTATTAATTTTCCTTGATCCAAGTCTAATAGCAACCCTTAAAAAAATAATATAAATAACTTGCGAAAGTTTTAAATAAGTACTCAATTGATTCCTCATCAAGAAGTATGAAAAAAGTTCCTATAAACATAGGTATAGAAATGCATAGTTTTAGAGTTACAGGGTGTTAAAACTTTTAAAAATGAGTTTTTTTTGTAATTACCTTAAATACTATTATTCTTTTATTTGAAATTGTGCTAGGTCGAACTATTTTCTTAATACTCGTACAACTAATTATTGATAAAAACATTAGGGCTCATCAACGTATTTTCCATGTTTTCAGCAAAATAAAAACAACGAAAACGACATCCAATCAAAACTTTTCTATTATCCTGTCTTTTTTTAAGCCCTATCCTTCGTCGCCAGAGGAAAAGTATAGTTTCGACACCCCTCAGATTGGCGACCTCTGAATACTATTGCTAAAGCTTTTTGCAACTTTAACAATTAATTCTGTCGAAGGTTCTCTTTCCCGTGGCTGACCTGCATTGTCCAGCTCGTTGAAGTTGCAAAAAACATTTATGTATCGTTCTATATGATTGAGATTTTTGCTGATATCGGCAGAACCTAAGCATTTGATTTTCACTCAAATTGCATTAAATTGTTACCGAATATTTAATTGTAACAAATTTTAGTTATTTAATAATTTTATTTACTTTTGTTAACATATTGAGTACTACAGGCATAATTTAAAAAAATATGATACGCACCTAGTAAATCAAAGAAATGAAAATATATAAATATAATATAAATATACAAGTCCAATATAGTCATCATTGTCGAATTTATGAAAAAAAGTTTTATATAAATGTTGCATAGTTTATAAAGGGGCATATACTTAACATATTTTGTTGTATACAGAGTGTCAAAAAAAAGTTATGATAAACTTTTAAGTTTTTTTTTTAAATTGTACCACCAAATTTCCTGCAGACAATTGAATTCAGCATAAAATTCTGTTATAGTACACTATTTTTAATTGAAACATTCTGCGCTGTTGCCATTTTATTTCTTATTTTTACTAAAACTTTAGTTAAAAACACTATACCCCCAAAGTGGTTAAAAAGTGGAGTGAATATAACTTCATTAATACTTAGCTATATTTTTCTAAACATCAAGAATTACAGAATAAATCCACAGAGAAAAATTTACATTATCCTAAACAGGGTATTTTTATATATTATTTAAATGCAACACACACATATTATTTTTCGTTTAAATGCAAAATTAAAAAATGTTTCTAAATTTTTAGCGGTTTTGCAGATATTTCCAGTATTATATTACATATGGCGTTTTATAACGGGAAAATACCAGAGAACCAGATACCAGAAAATACCCGCTTAAGATCATGTTAGGTGGCTTTGATAAAAATTTACTGTTGGAGAGCGATATTAAATAATATACCACGAATATCTGCGAAAAATCGTTAGAAATTTATGAACATTTCAAATACAAAAAATGTTCACTTTTTAATTGTTTATCAAAAATGAGAATAATATGCATTGTATTGTATTGCATTGACAAAGAGTGTGTCCCAGTTGGGACCCTCCATTGCGGCCGCGAGGGCCTATTGTGGCTCAGTTTCTACAAGCTCTTTAATAGAAAATAAGCGTTAAAGTTCACTCTCAAGACCGAGCCTTTTAACATAGGCCGATATATCCGAGGGTGATATGTCTCCTAGGTCTGATAGGCCTAGCATGGGTTTGCTAAACATCTCAAACCTGGTCCTTCCCCCATCTGGGTAGGTACACATAACGTGCTTCATTGTTTCGTCATCTTCTATACAGAGTCGGCATTTGGCGCCTTCCACCAGTCCCATCCTCTCTAGGTGTGATCTCAGGCGGCAGTGGCCCATGTATACTGCAGTGAGCGTACGTGCTCCATTTCTACCAGCCTTTAGGAGTTCTACCGTATGATCGAAAAAAAAACGGCGTCCAGTTGGCTGGGAAATGAACATCGATGACATTTCTCATATAAAATGACAGCGATCTTCATTCCATAGCCATCGCTGACGCCGTTTTTTCTCGATCATACGGTATAATGTACATAGTGTTGCATTTAAAAATTGCGATAGAGCATTTTAAATATTGCGATGTTGTTGACACCATGAAGATTACCCTGTATAAGATAATGTAATTTTTTCTTCGCGGGTTTATTCTGTTTTCCTTGTTGTTTAGGAAAATATAGGTTATATAATTATTAGTAAAGTTAAATTAATTCTAGTTTCTAACCACTTTTCGGACATAGTTTTTTTAACCAAAGTTTCAGTAAATTAAAAATATAATATCAAGACTGCATAGTGCTGGATATCTATACTTTCAACAAACTAATTTTTTTACATATCACTAAAGAAAAAATAGTATATTGTTAAAAAAAAAACAGTTAAATGGAAGTAAGACAATGCATTCTCTGCGTTCATATGCATTAGAATCGGAAATGTTTTCAACCTAGCCAATTGATAGTCAGAAACGTTAAGCCGTTACAGACAAAATTAAAAAAAAATGAAATGCCATGTACCGATAAAAAGTTTTTTCTCTCAGGTTTCGACGTAGTTTTCATGTTCCCATCAAGAGAACAACGGAGAGCGACATGCAATCACAACTTCTCTTTTGTCGGGGTTACGTTTTTCAGTTCATATCTTTCAGCCGAATGAGACAACATTTAGAGTTGGACGCGCATCAGAAAAGTGACCTCTGAATACTGCTGCCGAAACTTTTTGCAACTGTGGCAATTAATTTTCTGGAATTTCCTCTCTCTCGCAGGCGACCATCGTTTTCCAGCTCTTTGAAATCCAGAATAAAAAAGTTACCTGTGTTTAATAACTGAGAAAATCATTTTTTATATTGATAAAGGTCTTTCTTTTGCTTTAATTCTATTCAAAAGTTTGCCGAATATTCAATTGCAATTTTAAATTTATTTAGTTAAAACTGTTTTATACCTTATTGTTGAATCAATTCTTATTCATAATATTTTCGGTAGAATAAAATATCAATCTATATTAAATAAATAATAAAAATAAGAGTGGCAAAATAAAATTGAGATAAAATAATAGGATAAAAGGAAAGCACTAATATTTCGTTAAAACAATATGTCAGTTAAATTATGTTAAGAAAACCTAGATCAGATTAGGTTAGATTTGGGTTGTGGCTATCGGTCTGTTCCACTGTGGCCTTTTCAGATCTATCGTGATCCTGTTGTGATCTCTAGATAAGTTCTATCTGTTTGAACAACTTATAGACCGAACAATTTTGAAAATAAGTTGCAACAGAGATACCTCAAACAACTTTTCACAATCAAATAGTACCACCATGTTTTGAACGTATCGGTCCTTGAAAAAACCAGCTGCGAGAGCTGAAGTCATAATTTCTAAATCCTGCTTAAGGTGGGCTGGTCACGCATGCAGGATGAAAGGAAGCCGCTTATATGTTTTCTTTACTGTGAGCTTGTAGACGGCAAGAGAAACCAGGTGGACACAAAAAAAAGAATAAGAAGTAAGACTGAACTCTCCAAGTAACTCTATGTCAATTTCTAATAAATAAGTGCCTAATACATAGAACTAAATATTTCCTAGCTTGTCGTACTGACATAAAATGTGTTCCGTAGTTTCTTCCTCTGATTGACAATCAATCAGCATATTCAGCTTACAATGCTCTGTGGGTAAGCCAACTACAGATTTGACAGTCATTCTGTTTTAGCTTATCATCATCATGTCTGCAGTAAAATTTAGCGAATGTTCTATGAATTTTTTCACCTGTAGAGATCTGTTGTTCACCCACTATTTTGTGTCCATTTTGTGACTGCTTTTGAAGCGCCGCAGAAAGGTTTTGGGCCTATTAATGGGCCATTTTCTTTTTTAGTTTCTTCAGTATTTTTTTTTAACCATTTCATATGCATTTTTGTTATAGTAATTCCACAGTCAGTTGATCTGGTTTGGGTCCTTTAATTTGTTTAAACAGATGATGCCAATAATAGTGCAGACAAAGGGCAATGACGGAATTAAGATCCTCAGACCATTCCTACTGCCTTCGAAAGTATTATACCCTTGTGATCCTTGTGCCTCGATACCCAGGCTAACCTAACATTCCTAGTCCTAAAAATGTATTTTAAGGAAAGCGGTGCTTTCAGTCGAAATACATAGTAAAAATAGAATGTTATCGTCCAATCAATATCAATACTGATAGTAAAAAACATTAAAACGTTATGGGCAAAGTTATAATAAGCACTTATAAATGTTTATGAATAAAATATCGGAAAGCAACCTATAATAAATTAAAAAAAAGGTAATTTTTTATTTTTAGATGCTGAAGGTAAAATAAACTTAACATAATAAGGTAATAAAATAAAAATATGTAGTCATACTTACACCTTCCTGAATCAGTTGTAAATTATACTTGTAGTCGTCGTACTGTGCATTCATAATAAGTTGTCGCATACTTTCACGAACTACAGGCTGGAATTTGGAATCTCTGGCGCTGTTGTCTAAGAGAACGGCAGATCCGGCTAGCAAGATGACAAAGCAAAATAGTTGAGTCCCGATAAACTGTAAAAGAAGTAAAAAATATTTTAAGTTAAAATTTATGTTCTGAGTTTAGGAGAATCTTTAAAAAATATTATATGAACAAATTATGAGCAAATTAACGAACAAGTCGCTTATTTCCATCATTTTTTATGAATGTTCTATCCGCAAAAATTAGAAATTCTAAGGGTGTTAAACTGGGAATAAAAATATAGGGACCTTCAAAAAACATGTGCCATGTCTCTTGGGGAGATTCCTATTATATAAATAAGATTTATTTTTCAAATTAATATAGGTCCGATAATTCTGCTGTGTTTCGCTGCTGCAGGGGGTTAAAGTCTTAATAAGTTTTTTCGATTTATTAAAAAAAAATCCATGTGCTTTTAGCGATTCGAATGAAATTTTGAGGGTAAAAGTTACTATATGTGTGACGTATTTTAATGCTAAAAAAGTGTCGACATATTCAGCAGGGACGTGCATATGGGTTATCACTGGAATATTTTTTTAAAAAAAATATGTGCGTTACTAACTTTTTTTTCTTTTGTTGGCAAAGAGTGTAAACCTAACCGTTAAATGCTGATTAAAAGTTGTCTTTTGATATTTTGTCTATTTCGGTCTCCTAAAACGCATTTTAATTAATACACTAAATGTGTACCTATTAGTTAATGTTAAATAAATAATATAGAAATTAACTTTAATTTAATTTTAAATTATGTTATATATGTATTAATCTACAAAAGAAATTTTTCAAAACTGGTTTATTTTCTATTTTTTTTTATTTGTCCATTCTGTTTGGTACTAATCATTAACTGTTTAAAGATACTATACCGTGTGTTTTTCACAGGAGGCTTGTCCCTATATTTTTTTATATTTTAAGTAAAAAAAATGACATCAAGTTTCACTGGATATGATAATATTATCTTTTAATTCCTAGACGGTTTCATAGGTTTTTTTTACTCTATTCGATAAAAAATGGCATTGTGAATAGAATGAGATCTCATATGTAAACTTTTGACTTATTCGCTTAAAACCTATATTTAGATTTCAATATAGAGTACCATAGAAATTAACCATAAAATTTTCATAAAATAATGCTCTATCCGAATAACGAATATATATAATATATTCGTTAACCACCTACTTTCCATTTGAATAAATTAAGTTATGATTAAAAATACGATTTGGGCATCTTTTAAATGGCAAAAGAATATAACTAAAAATATTAGACAATGAAATCTATTTTTCCAATGATCCTTGATTAAAAATTAGTGATTTAACACAGCCATGGTCAAAAAATGTCAAAAGTTGTCCTATGATACGTCAATTTATTCGGAACGTAATTTTCTATCGAACTAAGTAAAATAATATCTCAGGCGCCATTTAAAAATTAAATCATGTAGACATGTCCGGTAAATCAGGAAGTGACCGACATTAATTGAAGACGTCAGTCATTAATTGAAATACACCAAATCTCGTTTTTCTGTCTGAGAAAATAAATTATAGGGATAAGCCACTCTCGAAAAACATCCGGTATATAAAAATATACCTATAACAAAAATCTATTTTAAACTTTTAACTCGTTATTTGCGGTATTTCAGTTAAAAAAGTTAGTGAGTCTATAAAAGGTTAAACCTACATCCCATTAATATTGTCCCGCATGTCAACTCCCACGTGTAATTCTCAGTTGAGGTATTGAACCTACGCTATCAATGGAAATATACCCTTAAAATAATATAATCTCATCTGTTCGTATTCACTGGCCATTAAGTTGTAAAAATGTGCTATTTGGTTGCAAAAGTGTAAACAATACATACTTATAGAGCCGATCGGGCAATTATTTGATTGCATGTGAGCGCGATTTATTAGAACATGTTGGTTATAAATCTGCAACTAAATAGTCAGCCGACTAAAAATTACTTGTCAATACATAGCCTATTTATATACATAGCCATTCTATTCAAAATGTCATTTTGTACCGTATAAATTAAAAAATACCGAGGAATATATTTAAAAATAAAAAGTTATAATAATTTCCCGTGAAACCGGAAGTGACCGAAAGTAATTGAATGCGTCAATCAAAAAAGTAAAAAAGTTATAGGGATGAGTCGGTTTTGAAGAACACTCCAGTATTACAAATTAAAATTACAAAGAAAGTTTAACTAAAACACATTAAAAATACTCTGTTGCTATTCTCTTATTAGTTTGCTATATTATATATTTAGAAATTTTACAAATGAAGACTTGAAGTAAATAATGTTCTAAGTGCCAAAAAATAGATTTGTCATGTTTTATTTGTAAAATGTTTTAAGTTCAATAACCAACAACATATATAAATCGCTAAGTGCCACGGCTATTAAACTGTGTTAAAAAAAACTCAACAGAGACACCGTCCGTTCTTATACATTGGTTATATAACAAAAAATGTTGTTTATCTCAAAATATTGATTTTGGCTCTTAGAGTATTATTTACTCAAAGTCTTCAAATTATCTAGAGAAATATGATTTCATAAGTAAGAAATAGAAATTTATACAATATTTAGATATTTAGTCATTTCAGTACTTTATTCTTCTCAGAATTTATTTCAATAACGGACATTATCCTCACGTTTGCCTTTGAAGAGTTTCCAACGAAATTTTCTATAATTGAACTAACTTTTTAAGTGAATCCGACAAAAACTTTCGCGGAATTTTAAAAGCTGGTGCTAGTCGTAAATAATGCAAAAGTTTTGAAATTCGTATAAATTGTAACACTCCGCAACTTTCAACTATTAAAACTTGATAAATAATACCCAAATAAACAATAAAATTTATTTTTAGGTCTTATAGAATATTCATGATTTAGAATATAAATTTGGAGGTACGGTAGTCTGAGAAAGATATTATTATAAATGAAAACTTTAAAGAGACAATTTTAATAATTAATTAATAATACATATAATAAAATTTAAATAATAGATTTTTATTATTTATATACAATATGATCGGAAAAAAAGTAGCCAGCGAGAACTAAATGAAGATCGCTGTCATTTTATATATAAAATTAAATGAGGAATGTCATCGATCTCCATTTCCAAGCCAACTGGATGTCGTTTTTCCTTCATCATACGGTAGATAAATTTCATATATGCCTTGTTGTCTATTTCACTAATTAAATAAACCACAGCCATGTAATTATATTAACATGCACGCAATGTAATTTGCCTAGTTGATTTTAATAAAATAACGTTTAGTGTTTTCTAGTCCAATAATTATTATAAATACACATACTTAACAAGAAACAATTACTATACTGTGATCATAATTAAGATTAACTATAACATTATATGAAGGTTAAATCAAACAGCATAAAACATTAAACAATTAAAAAATTATATTTACTAATAATACTGTTGAAACAGTTCTTTTGATGTTTTGTTTTTTAGAAAAATAAATAAATAGCGTCTTCATCTTTCACTGACTTTCGAACAATCCGAATTGCAAGATACCTAATGATATGACGATATATTTCAATTTTGGTCGGGATTAGAATACCAAAATTCCAATCAAAAACTAGAAATACTGAATCTGATTTTAAAAAACTGGTTCTCTATATTATCTTTAAAAGTTCTTGGCATGATGTAGTAATATTATAGTTATTTATTTATCAAGGGAATAATAAGGATGTCAATTATAGGGGGCAAAGTGTCTGTACAGAGGGCCTATGGCCCGAGGGACAATAGTTGCCTAATATTATTAACACTTTATAATTCCCTGGTACATAGATAATTTTATTTCTTACTGAATTGAGTATATATTGTCCCATTTTAAAACGACTCAAATATTACATTTACTTATCTTCCGGTATATTTACATTAACGCTGCTGGTACGAACTTTGATTGTTGCCAGGTTATTCTTGTATTAATTGATCTGCTCATAAACGGTTGTTGTCAATGGCGTTAAGTGTTTTGTCAGAAAATGCCTTTGGCCTTGGCGTTAAGTGTTTTGTCAGAAAATTTGGCACACGTTCGATTACGCTGCCATCAAAATGGGTGAAATATTTAAGAAGCATAACAAATTTTCCTTCCACTTCAAAGTTAATCAATTTACCAAAAACAATAAAAAAATACCGTCAGTGGCTGGGGCAGAAAAATATTGTATCAGGAGATGTCTATAGTATTTCATTGTTCTTACCCATAAATGGTAGATAGAATTATTGCATCTTAATTCCTCGTTAATAATGTACCAAGGAAGCTATGACTCTACTTATGGTTAGCGTTAACCAAGACGATAATATAAACTTATTCAATAAGAAATAAAATATAAAAAAATAAATATTTTTTTTTCTTTAATACCTCTTTAACATAAAACTCTTTTATAACGGTCTCATATTCTCGACGAGAAATACAGAATAGAGACATTTTCTAGGAAAGGGTAAAAGTAAACAAAGTCGTAAAAAGGGCAGTCAAAGCGATACGTATTTACTACAGTCACTGACACAAAACACAGGGAAAATTAGTTAGCTGCACGACACTTTCACAAACTAAAAGCTTCACAAAATGGCTACAACTAAAACTGAGTGAAGAATCCTGTACGCCCGTCTAAATACTTGCCACGATTACAGCACAATACACTTTTCTGTGGCAAAGTTTTTTAGCTTTGTCTTCGCTCTGTTCAAGGGATTTCAAATAAAGCTCTTTTAGATTATAATGTAACTGTTACCGGCAAAGTATAAAATTAAAGCATTCTGTTTAAAAATTAAATTTAATGATATCATAGTGGTATACATTTTACAGAATACCTATAAAATATTATAAAAAGTATGAAATAAAAAAATTGTGTGTGCACGGTGTGCGATTTGAAGTGAAACTTCTTACTAACAGTTATTAAATTGAAGGATTTGAATGACATGTTTTAAAAAGTGGAGTTTGTAATGTTGAAAAAGTAATAAATTAAAAATATTAATTAATGTTATTCACTTTCACAAAATTTCCATTAAAATGACCGTCTGTCCATCTGAGTACTCCATTCGGGTACCTTTATCCAC